TTGCTCATGCCGTAAAATTCCAAGACCTTCTCCGAGTAGTTTTGTTGGTTAATCTTAATGCCATCTTTCCGTTTCTCAATCTCTAAGCCTAAAAAAGATCTAGGATTTTCATTAAAAGTTATGTCGAAAACATCTCTTAACTTAAAAAGTAGATTTTTCAGATCGTGTAAATTTTCACCAAACAGTAGGCCGTCATCTACGTAAATTGCCAGAAGTGCCGAATTATCTTCCCTTTTGAATATGCATTTTTCCGTGAGCAATTGCCTTAGTCTTTGTTTTTTAAGTGTCTCCGTAAATTTCTTGTTTCATGTGTGTGACGCCTGCTTGAGACCGTACAACGCTTTTTTGAGCTTGCAGATTTTGCTTTTTTGTTTCTGAAATCCTGGCAGATGCATAAATATTTCTTCCTCCAATTCTCCATAGAGAAAAGCGGTCTTTACATCAAATTTTATAGAATTCCACTTGTAGTGGGCTGCTAGGGCGAATAGCATTCTCAGTGTAGCACTGTTGACTACAGGGCTATACAATTCCGCATAATCTATGTTTCCCTGTTCGCATCCTCTTCCTACAAGTCTGGCCTTATACTTGCCTTCTTCTTTGATTTGGAAGACCCATCTGCTCGTTAAGCATTTTTTTCCCTTCGCTTCATCAGCATTTACTAGTTCCCAAATTTTATTCTTGTCTAACGAGTTCTTTTCTTCTTGTATCGCCATCATCCATCTCTCTTTATCCTCGCTGTTCATCACTTCTTCATATGTTAAGAATGCTTGAGTAGTATATCTATCTGGTATCTTCGTTTGTCTTTTAGTTCTCCTTTGTATGTTGTCTACTTGTTTTGGTGAGCTGTTGTTATTTTTTTGTGCCGTTATTACATTCTCTTTGCTTGTTTCTTCCTCAGATTCTTCTTCTGTGACTTCCACGTCCTCCTTTTCACTTGCTATCTCCTCTTCCTCTTCATCCAGGTCCTCCCCGTGTAGTACAGTTTTACTCCCTTCTTTAATATATTTACTCTCCTCTTCAATAAAGTGTACCTCTCGCGACACAATTATCTTCCTTTTTTCTGAATCCCATAATCGATATCCCGTTTGCGTATAGCCTACCAATTTCACGGCTTTGCTTCTCTTGTCTAATTTCTTCAATTGTCCCAATTCCTTTGCATACGCTGTACTACCGAAAATCCTTAGGTGTTTCAAATTTGGTTTTTCTCCATTCCACATTTCATATGCCGTTTGCGTATTTGCTTTTGTCGGACTTCTATTATGCAAATAAGCGGCAACTCTTACAGCTTCTCCCCAAAGCATCTTGTTCTCTTCTGCTCCTAAAATCATCGCTCTTACCTTCTCGACTAATGTTCGGTTTAGTCGTTCGGATTTGCCGTTCAGTTGAGGAGTATAAGGAGGAGTGTAGTTCAAAAAAATACCTTTATTTTTACACCAGTTTTTTAATTCTTTGCTAGAGTATTCTTTACCATTGTCGCAGCGTATCTCAACAGTCCTGGTGTCTAATTTTACTTCCGCTTGTATCAAGAATTCTTTTAATTTTTCAAACACTTCTGCTTTTTCTTTCATGAGGTAGACTGAAACATAGTTGGTGTAATCGTCCAAGAAAGTAACGAAGTACCTGTTTTTGTCCCACGTCTGCGGGGTAATTGGTCCACAAACATCCGTGTGAACTATCTCCAGCGGTCGCGTTGCCCTTTTCCTTTGGTCTCCAAATGGCATTCGTGCATGGTTCGCTTGTATACATGTCTCGCAATTCAATAACTGTTCCTTAATCTCACTCTTTGTTAATTTAATCCCTTCGGATAAGTTGAGCAACTTTACCATATTATCTGTACCTAAGTGACCTAATCTCTCGTGCCATAATTTTACTGAAGGTTTCTTTATTGACGTCATTGCTTTTTCTGTGTCTTTATCGTCTTGTATTACGTACAATCCCGCACTATTCCTTCTTCCTTTGAAAATTGTTTTCTCATCTTTACTTATTGTTACCTCATCCTCGTAAAATTCTACTTTTCCTTCCTTTTGCGTTATTGCACCAACGGACAAAAGGTTTCTTCTTAAATCTGGTATGTATAGTACGTTGTTTAACTCACAGTTCCCAAGGTCAACCGTTCCAGTCTTCTTTGCTATCATGTTTCCTTCTTTGTTTGCTACACCGACTTTTGTTATTGCTCTTCGTCCGTCCTTCAATTTTGCTAGGTCGTTCGTCATGTGAGACGTTGATCCGGAATCGACGATCCATCCGTCAATTTCATCTGCGCTGGTTAGAAAAGCTACCTTATATCCTCTCTTGCTGATTCACCCTTTCCCTTTCTAAAAAAACAGTCCTTTTCCAAGTGATTTGACTTTTTACATATTCTACAAGATTTTAAATAACCTTTTCTGCAGTCTTTTGCTACATGACCGGTTTTGTGACAATTGAAGCATTTTATGTCATTGCCTTTCTTAGTAGCATCTCTCCTCTTGCACGCGTGCGCTAGGTGACCCTTCATGTTACATTTGTAACATTTTCTCTCTTCCGTCTTGAATGCCACCGCCTCTTCTCCGTCCGAGCGGTTCCTGGCTTCTTCCGCTAAAAGTCTCGCAGTTAGATTTACTATCGTTCGCTCCGCAGAAGAGGTCGATTCCCACGCACTAGCAAAAAATCTGTAATTCTCCGGTAACGCTGTCAATATTTTAGACATGACCATCGTGTCACTTATTTCCTCACCGAGACTCTTAAGTTTGAAAGCTAGGTTTTTTAATTCTGTTATACATGTGGCCATGTCAGAATCACTTCTCCTTTTATATTCGAAAAATTCCTGCATAAGAACGCATTTCTGATGTTGTGAATCTCTTTCATAAATACTCTTTAATTTTCGCCACATCTCATAACTAGTAATGCATGTGATTATATGTATTAATGACTGTTTCTCCAACGTGCTTACGATTATTCGTTTTGCCTTGGCATCTTTTTTCTTCCAGTCTGCTGATTGTAACTGTTCAGGCGTTGGCTCCGTTTTTATGACGTCCTGAAGATCCGCTGCTTCCA